CTTTTATATAATTTATTTCTCTATAAATTTGCCAGCTTTGACTTTTTTCCTCTTCATTAGAGTTATGGCACAACGATTCAGAGTGCTCTAAATGTTAATTCATTTTTTTTTATCCTGCCTAAATCATAGGCCCAGGTTCTACGCATGTGTCACTGCACTTTGTACATATATATGTGTGTGTGCATCTGACCTTTGAACATTCACTAATCCCTAATAATTTTATTTTAAAACAATGAAACTTAAAGGACAAACGAAAAGAGACTAAAACACTCCCTACCTTGGTCTGGAGTCAGTGGGTAAATATATTAATACACAAAACCAGAAGCCTCTTTACATTCCATTCATAAAAAAAATCTATATACCTTTATTATTTATACAACATATCCATAAAATCAGTCTTGTACCATTAAAAGAGAACTAAGGGGTAATTGTTTTCCCCATAGTCCTCTTAAGGGTCACGGGAGGACATATACTAGCGTCCTTCTGTGACCCAAAGCTCAGTATATCACGAGCAACAGGGGGGTGGCTGACAGACTGCTCTCTGAGACGATCGAGAAGTGAGCAAGTGACGGTATGCATTCGCTCACATCCCGATCTATTGAGCCGACGTGTGACAGTTTCATTGTCACACGTCGGCTCGAACTATGAGGATGAGTGATTTTCAGTCACCTCATAGTTCTCCTTTAATGCTAGTCTTTAGGAATTGAAAAGTACCATCTGCATATTTCCATTACGGTTATAATATTTATCAATGAAGGAAATCTTGAAATCTGCAGTCACCCACCAGCAAAAGGTACATATCCACTCTGATATTGAAAAATGTTTAAACTCCCACAAACACTTAACGTGTCATCCAGGTAAAAATATGTAAATTATATCTACTTCACATAGAGAGCATATGCAACACTTGCAAAAAGGTTTAAAACCTTGTTAGCTGAGTATAATCCATCTGGTGGCACACGGCACATGTTCCCCCTATTTATAGAAGAGAGCATTCTTAAAAGAGTGGAATTGTGTACACAATTGTTTCCTCCAAACACTGTAATCAGTCAGCACTTTAATGGACTGAAAATTGTGATACAGATGGCCAACTCTCCTGTACATTAGATAGATCTGTAGCCATGCCAGGCTTGCATTGTGTGTATCAGTATAGCTTCTGTAAAGTGACAGGTCAGCCTCTCAATATATTAAAGTGACACTAAAGTCAGGAGTTAAACCTAAAGTCAGGAGTTAAAAATGTCTTCAAGTACCTTAACTATTAACAAAAATGTAGCTTATTTGTGTATAACCCAGCTGTAGATCCCCAATTACTCCAGCTGGAGATGTCAGTATGCCTCATGTCACTGGCATTCAACCTTCTGCTATAAGCTCATGGTCGCTTTAGCGACCATAAGCTTATAGTAGAAGGCTTCTCCATAGTATGCTTACTATGTTCCCAGTTATGAATGAACAGGAAGTGCTATACATCACTTCCTGTTCATTCATTATTGGGGATAGAAAATGTATGGTGGTGGGGGGGTGGGGGGTTTCTTTTACAAACCTTAAAAGCTGCAGTTGAAAATAAAAAAAAAGGGAACATTTGCAAAAGTCTGGCCACCTAAGGTCAAAAGTGCTAGGCAGGGCTTGGCAGCAAAAGGGTTAAAGTAGCCACTGCTCCAAGCTCGCTCCTCCCATGGACTGCAATCTAACGTTTAGTTGTGTTGAGATTGTAGTCCATCACAGAAGCGATCTTGGAGCGGTGTCTACTTTACAACACACGCAGGGATCATGGGGAACAAAAGCAGCCACCCTCCAGAAGTAAGGACAGTGTCAGCACCAATTCAGAGATGATATGAGGATCTTCGGCCGAGTGATGCACATATAAGATACATTTTTGTTTACAGGGTACTTGATTTCATTTTTAAGATTTAATTGGGTTTAGTGTCCCTTTAAGTGAATACAAATGAATGCAGATTGAAAGAAAATGCACAAGTACACTCCTCCAAACACTGTGATCAGTCTGCAGCTATCTGCACTGAAAAATATAATACAGATGACCATATCTCCTGTACATTAGATTTGCAGTCAAACTAGACTTAATTATGTATCAGAATAACTTTATTAAAGGAGTACTAAAGTCCCAATAAATACTATCCTGTTATAACATAGGCATTGTAATAGGAATACATACTATAGTTGTTTTTGATAATGTAATTCAAGCTTAATTGAAAAATCCACTTTATGTAGTTAGTACTCCCTTTTGTCTGCCTATCACTTTCATCAACTTTTTGGATTCCCAGTGTGTTTTGTGTCTCTTTCCCTGATGCTTGATGTTATGCACTCTTGATTTCTCAATACTACATATCCCATCATGCATTGCTTCCAGCATGCAATCATTTTACATTGTGGGAAGTTCAGACATTGAGTTATAGTTCAGACAGTAGGCTTAGTTGGATCGATGACACAAGGAAGTGCATATTCACAGGGCTGAGTGAAATTGTGTTTGCATTAAGGACACCTTCAATAAGTAGGTTTACAAACATCTACATTGATATGGTTATTAGGAGTGGGATAGAAATTGCAGTAAAAATTAGAAGGTTCACTCACTTTCCCTTAATCAGATGTTTTCTTACATGTGTGGTGTCAGGGTCTGCTTTCTGTAATTGTGCTGTGTGACTAAAACTCTCTGTATATGGTTGACACTGCTTAGCCCCTTCAGAGTGATTGCGGTCCTCTTTTAAACACTTTTACCTTACAGAGAGTTTTAAGGACAACTTTCTTTATGTAGTGTCTTGTTGGCTTGATATAGCCTTCAGTTTCTGATAGCTGAACTAGTGGTGGCCATTACAACACCCAAACATTTGAATATTGTGATATGTCTGTGAAGATTCTCATTCATCCAGGTCAGAATATATCTATAAAAAAATAGATCAAGGCAACTGGACTTGCTTTATTTTTCTTGAAGACGTTTCGCTAGTCATATGATTCATTTTCTCAAATCAGATTCTCAATTTCAATGGAGGTGGAGGTGTGCAGTAATCCGCCAAAAGGATGATGGCTCAACATTCTATTATGTGCTAATAAACTCTATGTACTACAACATAAAGTTTATTTGACATGCAATAAGCCAAAAATAAGACTTGCAACAATTCACATTCCTCAATGACCTCCAGTCTTACTTTATCTGGCCCACTGTATTTTCTGATGGAAAAATATATTTTCGTATGATTCTGACTAAGGAGTTGGAACATTGTTAGGGTGTCACAGCACATTCCAAGAAAAGTCAATTAGATATAATTCACATGTTATGTGTTATTGTACAGAACGCACCTGACTTGTTTCCAACAGTTAAAAAAAACAAAACAGAAACATATTTCTTGCCTCACTGTGGTTTAGTATAATAGCAATTTTAATTCATAATGAACCTGTTTGTAACTTACTCATCAGAAGATAATTAAGAGTGACCTACAATAGTTGGCAACACTTTTGGCACCACGTTGTTGGAAAAAGAGGCTTTTTGTTATTGCCTACCCCAAGATAAGATTTAGGCATCAGTTTTTCAGATAAAAGATTATTTGATTTTTGAATGAGCAAGTCTGTTTTTTACATCTGACTGCAGAAACAAAGGCAGCCTTACACAAATATGAATCCTTCCTGCCCTGTGGGGGAAAAAAGAATAATTATTTTAGCCAAAGGTTTTTAAGATTATGGAAAGAGCTGGGTAGGGATAGAACCTTTGTTAGGTTTTTTTTTTACTGCGGTCTGCGACCCTGTTGGGAGTGCAGGAAAATCTGTCCATGGCTGCAACAGAACATTTATTTTTCGGTAAAATGCAGAAAGATTAGAGGCTCTGTTAGGTCAATACTACTGTCAGTATTTTCCTGTACCAATTACTACTGACCTCTAATTTCTTGTCCTGCCGTTACAGGCTATCACATGTACAGGAAGTATGGTGAATATTTCCCAATACGTTCTCAGGTAGAAATCCAATGTTTTGGAGGGCTTTTATTCTGATGGAAATTTTCCAGTATCACAAAACTTTTGAGATTGATTATTGATTAAGATAGAATCAGAGTACTTTTGTCTTACCCTCGCATTTGTAAAAGCAAACCTGCTGTAAGAGTGACATGGGAGCCATTGGCCACTCCTTTTTAAAATGCTAATTGTCTGACTGTCCTGCTGACCCTCTTGCCCCAGTACTTTGAGTTACTCACACAAAGAATGTATGCAGATAAATATTTCTAACTTTTCTGATCTGCATACTTGTACTGAGTAAGTGACTCGGAATGTATTAAAGCCAGTGGCACAGCACACAAGACAGACAATTAACATCTTTAGAAGGAGAACAGCAATGGCAGCTCCTGTATTTATTTTGTGAATCTGTCTGGATTTGTTGCATTGCCAGCAAACGGCTTTGTATAGCTAACTTTACCCAGGGAAATGATCTGGATTTATCATCTTATCTGATTAGATCCTGAAACTGTACATATGTGTCTAAATACTATTTTTATCTTTGGTATATGCTGAATTTAGTTTGCATGATTTTTTTTTAGATGTATTTGTCCTTTAAATGTGTATACATTCTTTAGGAAAAGTGGATTGCACAATATTTAGATACAAGTTAAATATATTTTTTTCAAGGTTTGGTTCATTTCTATAATAATATAATTTAATATTATAATGTATTGTACAGAGGAGAAAACAAACCTGTACAATATGATCTAGAGAATGGTAACCGGTGAAGATAAATAGACTGGGAACAACTATGTGCACTTTGACAGGGTATTTTGACCTTTAGTCACACTTGATGTATGACGGGTAACATCAATCACAGTGCACAGTGACAGGGACATCTCATATCTTCTGCTGTCAAGCAGACATAAATGGCAAATCTAAAAGCAATTACTGCATAGCATATATCTAGATCGCTAAACTGAATAGAAAAAAAAAAATGCATTATTTTTAAAAACATGATAAAATATATTTAATAACATCAGTAATGTTGTATTTCTCTTTTATAGGCTTTGTACAACTCCATCAAGAATGAAAAGCTGGAATGGGCATCGTAAGTGTAATTTCTTCTTAATCAAAATGAACAAAAATATCTATGCTATTTTATTGCTTAAAATAATTATAGTTTAAAAACTTTGAATGTGCTTTAACTTTTAATGAAATGTGTGAGCTGTAATGGTTTCAGTCACATTTGGGCCCTAGAATGTAGATGGAATGTGAGGCAGGAGCTGGAGTCAGGTACAGATTGAGTGAACCTGTTCTCTGGCAACTGTAATGATGCCTCTTTGCTCTATAACTCGACATGACTATGTAGAATGTCACTGCTATTGTCCTCCTGATTGTAGTAGGCCAGTAGTACTGGCCATTTTTAAGCTCAACATGACTGGCTTAGTTAAAAGAATAGTGCATCTGATATTTCACATGCAAGTGGACATTAACAAGTGCCTGCAGCAGTTGGAGGCATTCAATATCCAATTGGGATAACTACCAGATATCTCTCCAACTGTTTTTTCTTTTTTATGGAACATATATGACCATGTGCGGCAAGGCTTAATAATAGTGGCCTACAAGTTGACTGTCTGTAGGAAGAGGTACATGCTGCAGTCTACCACTAGAGGTCAAATAATCACTTAATGACAAGTGGTAGAGGATAGTATGCAGAACATGCAGATTTTTTTTCTGCAATACACTCTGGTAGTTCATCACAGTAAACATAAGCCTTAGTGCAGCCCAAATAAATACCTAAGTACACACTGTAGGGAGGCTTTCTGTAGTGAGTGCTGTTACACAAAGTGCCAATGGTGAGACTGTGTGCCCCCTCTCTACCGGTAATAAATGACCTGCAGCATTGTGTCTTCTGGAGTATTTGTTCTGTACATTGCCTATAGAAATCATAATTTCATTATGGACCATTGAGAGACACTGGAATTGTAGAAATTCCTTAACAGTCACCTTCCGGAGGTTGGGACATTGGGAAACAAAAGATGTTAACCCAGCTCCTCTAAATTCCCACTTTCAACCATCATGCCTTTTTTACTACTGTCTTGGGAGGTTGGATGTCTTCCTCAGCTCTGCGGAAAACAAAATCTTCCTATATTTTTTCAGCCTTTGTAATTTTTTTCTTCTTCAATTAAGATACTCAGTACACTGTAGATATATATTTTTTGCTTTGAAGTTACAATTACACTGTCTGAGTTAGTCTCAGCAGCTATCCAGATCAACAAATTATCAGCAAAAACTTGGGAGGCTGCATCTGGACCCCGCTGGACAGAAGGTTGCGGAGTCAGCCTGGAATGTGACCTTTGGGCAGTGGGCTCTGCATTATGTGTTCCATGTTAGTTAGCCACAGGGTGCTGTCCAGAGCCATGGCACAGTCCATGGTATGACGCAGTCTCTGAGAACTTATGTAGTGAGTATGTAAAGTTGTCAGAAGCATCTGGAGCTTCATCACTGTTGGTATTGTTGGGCTTCATTTTAAAATTCACAAAACTGCCATTTCAACTCAGTAGGCTGAGTAAGGCTGAAGGAACTGAGCACTGACATCATCTGCTAGGGTGGCCTGTAGTACTTGTGTGCTTTACACTACATTAAGCCTAGAAGAAGTTCTATCATTCTGCTTCTCCTTCTTCTGAAGCACCTCAATCTCCAGATTAATTCCACTGCTCACCTTGGTCACCTCTGGCTGCCTGATACCCTCACAAGTAACATCTGCTTGGGCATGTGAGTATGCGAGAACTTGCTTCACTTTGGGCCTAGTTGTTTTCTGCAACTTGCTGCTACATGTTTTTTCACAGACACACAGAGGATAATCACCACTTAAATCCACTTCAGGTTTTTTGTTTTATGTGCACAGTTCATGGACCAGTCTGCTCAGAGAGGCTCTGGCCCCATTCATGACAGGGTCTGATTCTGACCTTACTGAGCCTCCATCTCTAAAAATGCCTCTATTACCATATTCAGAGTCTTTTACTGTCTACTCCTCAAGCAACTGTATTTCAGCAAATTCCACATGGCTCAGGTTTTCTCTTGAGTAGTTTCAAACCAGATTGATGTAGTGCATTCTATCATGCAGTTAGAGAATTAGCCTGCCACTCCAGGTATAGGGTCTTTTAGAGCTAATACAGCTGCAAATACTTTTCCAATGTATACTCTTATTAAAACATTCCTCTACGAGGACTGGAAACAACCTATTGAATCATAGGGGTTGATTTATTGAAAACAAATACGCTGCTTGCTTTGCAGGGGAATTTTCACTTTGCAAGTGCATTTTCCCTTTAGCTTAGTGAATGAGGTAAAGCTCTGCAGCATTCCATCAGCAAAGTGAATTTTTACCATATTCGCTAAGCTCAGGGAAAATTCCCTTGCAAAGTGAACAGCCTATTTGCCTTTAGTGAATCAACTCCAGTGGACAATGTAAAGCTTTTTCCCCTTGAAATGGAATTTATTGATTAATGGCCTCTGCCCACTACTGACTTTCCAGTCACCCGCCCTAATAAGCATACCACTAAACACGTTGATGGTGTCCTTACCCTTATGGATTTCACTTACAGACAGTTAGCAGACTCCATACTTGGGTCTCAGTTTGAAGCAACTGGGGTAACTCGCTGTCCTTTGTTGTCAATGATTTTGATTTGTGAAACTATATCACAATGGATTGTATCCCTCAAATGAGACCTCTCCAGCAGAGGCTCAAACATTGGTGAACCTGACTCTTCAGTGTCTCCTATTAATTCTGGACCCTGATATACACAGTACTGACTCTAATGTCAACCTTTTTGCCTTTTCCTGGCATATTTTGTGGATGGCTGAGCAGATCTTCCCTGAAGTGAGTGTCTTAGATTTTTGCAGTTGGTCTTGTTTTGCAATCTTTTTCTAGATTCAAATTGACAACAATCTAGTGCTAATAATCTTGGGTCATTGACCCGTGAAAGTGCTTGACCCAAATCCTTGCTAAGTCCACTCCACATTAACCTTTGACCCTTTCCTGTGTGTGACAGTTTTTTTTTACCATTTACCATGGAAGATTTAGTAAACCCCCCCTTCCTGGGAGGACTCCGTTAGCAGATGTATCTTCTTGCCTACTCCTTAAGTCTGGTTCTCTGGAACAGAGCAGTGCTGAGTCATTGGGAATCCTCCTGTTGGTCAGTCTTTTGATTTGACCTCTGCTGGATTTTGTTTGGAAACGGCAAGATCTTCAACTCTAGAAAGTATTCAGATCTCCCCCTGCCACAAATTTGATGTCCTACTCGGACTCCCTATGCTAGATGGTGTTGAATGAGTAATTTAGGAACACACTTTTTCCTAGAGTCAAAATATTGCGTTTTGGATCTCCTCTTTGAACAGTGGGAGCTCTGCACTGGAGTGCACAACACCTTCTACTTAGCTAAAAAATATCTACCACTAGAAGGTCCTATGCTTCATTGGCGGTTCAGCAGGCTACACACGCAGATTTCCCCTAAGAGGGACAATGTTATTCCATGGACTTTTGCGGGACCTGATTACTGGAAGAGCACCACTGTGTACTTTCAGGAGCCCAGCACAGGCAGACATTTTTACTCAAGAAACACCACACCTCTCACCCTTTTGCCCTTTCTGAAGCAGTGATAGCCAGTATGCTGCTATGAGAGTTTAGGAGCTTAATAAGGGCTGTTGGAAAATGGGGATAATAACCAGGATGTCTGGGTGACACCCAGGAAACCCAAGTGAGTTGATAGCTCTGTCAAGGTGCCTCTGTATCTTCCAGTCCTACTCTAATCCACAAGAACATCAACAGTCACCATACTGATTAAAAGGGCTCATGAAGGAGGACTTGTTGCTTCAGGGTCATAGATGTTAATCTATGTGGTGTTAATTTGACCACTATACAACTAAGGAGTGGGAGACCTGCATGGCTATTGTCTTTGTGACCTACCCCTAAATCCAGCACTGCAAAAATAGGAAGCTTCTGCAAGTGGTGGGCATAACCCAAGCTTTCCAGCTTTTCAGTAGCACAGTTTACAAAATTCCCTATGCAAGTTTGCAGCCTTAGCTGACCTATAGGACTGGCTCTGGCTTAATATTTTGGGCCACCATTACACATTGTGCTCAGAGTAATAAAATGGCTAATTCATCAGCCATTATATTATACTTTATATTTGTATGGCTTTTACTATAACAACTAATATGTTGCATGAGATTATGTTTGCTATTTTTTGATTCAAGCTTGTCTCAGATTTAAACAGGGTTGTTCTTTGCTGATTACAAGCTAAATGATGAAAGCCAGAGATCACACACAACATATTTTCTGATTCTCGAGTATGAAACACTTTGCCATGGATTGAGGTCCATGAAAACCAAAAGGTGTTGAGCACAAGGGGGCATACACATAATCTAAGGTATAATCAGTAGTGGGTTGATGATACAATGATCAGAAAGGAGGTTATATAATGATATATTTAAATAGGGATTTAGCAAGAATAGTAGAAACTGAAAGCAGACATGTTAGGATCATTCCACAAAAGAGAGCTTGTTGGCAGAATTGCAGTAAATGTAGACTCTCAGTCTGCACTTCATTGCATACCTTCCAACAGTCCCTCATTTTGAGGGACTGTCTCTAATTTTTAACCAAATTCCTTCCTCAGTTGTCCCTCTTTTTGTTCTGATGTACAGATATGTCTGTGAAGGGTCTCATTCATCCAGATCATATATCTGTAAAAAATCACGGCAACTGGACTTGCTGTATTTTTCTTGAAGACGTTTCAATGGACTGACCAGTGAAATGTCTTCAAGAAAAATACAGCAAGTCCAGTTGCCGTAATTTTTTTTTTCAGATATAATGTACAGATACCTATGAAAAGGTATTATTTAACTACCAAACAAGTTATTCTGCATGAAAACCTTCATCTTATCTCTTAATTATCATATTTACTATTTTGAAAAGCCAGTATAACGGAAAAGTTGTGGTAAAAAATACATTCTGAGTTTAACCAACCATTTTTGGCCTATAAATTCCTAATGGACTGCATAACTGGGGGCATTGCAGGGGTGTGTCAATCATCTAAATTGTCCCCCTTA